CCTCCCCTAACACGACCAGGTCAAGTTTGTCGATCGATATGTTAAGAACTGCAACGCGCATCAGCGGCGAGCAGTGGACGAGGCAATGAAGAGAATAGAGGCAGAGATCGAGAAGTGTTTCGATAGAAAACGCAAAGCAGCGAGATGGATGGTCCACCGTCCGTTGCGGTCTAGTACGGCGGCATGCGCCCGAAAGGGACAGGAAAGGGACACACAGCCTGCTCAATCATTTTGCATTTTATTCTGCAATGAGGAGAAAAAAGGTGCTTAAAAGCAGGCAACACCGTACAAGAAAAATTTGTTGGAAAATTCTTGCGATGACATAATTGCTGAAAAAAGCCGTTGTTTTTGAACAAAACAGGATATTGAACATGGAATGATCTTAATAGCAGGCAAAAATTTGCGTATTTATGACCTGAACAAAAATTATACAAAATAATGTAACAGGAGTCAGTTGAAAAATTAACAACAAAGTCAATGGTATAATTTACAACATTTTTTACAGTGAATTCGCAGAACGGCAAAGATGGCATTTCAGATTTCTTCGTGCAGTAATTAAGAGCACACACCCCATCGGCTAAGGGCTGTGCGACACGCCCCGCAACGGAAGAAACGTAGAATCTGATCTACACACGATTAAAGAATAAACAATTACGGTAAGGTTCAGCATTGGTGCGGGCAGACCTCTCGCGGGCTCGCGGGCGCCGCCTCGTCCCGGCCGGTCAGCGGGGCTGTGGGGTGGCACCGGGTGGTGGGCCCGGCGACACGTGCAGGCAGCCCAGCCTCCCCTAGAATATTATGCACAGCCCATACCATTAGGGACGGTAGGGGTGCGGCAGCGTCACATTTCACAAAGGCGGCGTTGCCAACCCAACCGACGCGGCCGGGCGCGGCCGATAGTGGCTCGGTAGTGGTGGGCCCGAGTCCCGCGCGACCGCGCGGTTCGAAATGGAAAACCGGACGGCCACCCACTTCTTTTACTTTGTTGTCTTTACCCCCTTTTCGCGGCTGGGGCCCGTGGGCCCCCCCAGGCAGCCCATAGGGAGGCGAGGCGGCGGCGACAACGGCGTGCTGGTCGCGCCCCAAGACCGCGGGGTGGAAAGAAGTGCGCCCCCCGGCCGCCACGCCCCGCGCCGCCGCGCCACGCCCCGCCCTTTTCTCGTCCTGGCGTCTTGCGGTTGGTCTACGGGGCGCGGGCGGCCCCGGCGGCACCCCGCCGGTGCCCCTGCGGTTGGTTGAGGTGGAGTGGTGGGGGCCCCGCCCCGGCCCCGCTGCCGGCGCCGCCCGGGCGCCCCCGCGGCCCCTCGGGGGGCGGTGGTGGGTGGCGCTGCCCGGGCCAGGGGGCTGCGGGGGCCTCCCTCATCAGCCCCCGGGGGGCGCGGGGCGCAGGGCGCGGGGAGGGTGGCCCCTCAGAACCTAGCGCGCCTACCACCAGCGGCGGTGGCGGTGGTGGCGGTGGCGGGGGCGCCCCGTCCTCCCCATCGGATCGAACGCAGCACTACGGCCACCACTATCGTCTTGCCGGGCGGTGCGGACTCGCTCGACGAGGGGCTCCAGGGGACCACGCCGTCGGCCCCCTACACCACACCACACACCACACCGTGCAGCCCGCCATGGAGGCCGCCGCCACGCCAGCCCGCCGCGGCGCGCAACCCCCACCCCTCGCCGCGCCGCCCCACCCCACGATACTTGCGGTCGGCCTGCGGTCGATTTGTGGTCTCCTTTGCGGTTGGCCGGTGAGAGAAGCCGATGCTCATTGGTCGGCGCTGCGGTGGGGGACTGCGGCCCCGCGCCGCCAATCAGCAAAGTCAGCCGCAGGCCGCAGGGCCGCCGGGGGGCGCACCGCGACACACGCCCGTGGCCACACTGTGGCCACACTGTGGGCCCGCCGGCCGGGAGGTGGGCGTGCGCACCCGGACAGGGAAGCACACACTGTGGTGGGCCCAGCGGTTATGCAGCCCGGCCAGCTGCGGAAGACGGTGTGGTCCGGCTCGCGGTGTGGTCCAGGTGCCCTCGACCACTGGGGTCAGTCAGTGCCGCAGCATCAGACCCTCGTGTCTGCCGCCCACGTGTCCACGTGATCGGGGTGGCTCGGCCGACCACCACTGGGCGCTGCGCGGCGTGCGTCCGAGTGTTGGGGACCGGCCCACGCTGGACTCGGCGGGCGCACGGGTCCATGGCGCAGTGCGCCCGCCCGGTCGGGCATAGGCAGACCCGCAATACGAGCACGCATGCGACAAAGCGACAGCCAGCGGGCGAGGCCAACAGAGAGGGGGACGGGAAGAGGAAGATGGGTCGGCGCGGTGACCATAGCCTGCTGGCCGCACACCGCAGATGAACCGCAGGGCTGCAGCGGCTCGGCCGCGGGCAGATGAGGTACATCACATGCCATCCATCCAGGCGAAGGTGAGCGAGCGGTCGGTGCGACCACACGCGGGCCCCAGCACTCCTCTTTCTCTTTCTCTCCCCCGCTCTCTCTCTCGCTCTCTCCCTCCGCCGCCTCGCCTGGCACGCGTCGATTCTTTCTAGGCTCTGCGGTTGGCCAGGCGCCGCGGTGCCACGCCATTGGAGAGCGCGTCCTCAGTCCTGCGCTACGCTACGCCACGCCGCCGCCACCACCCCCTCCGCGGTGCGGTTAACCGCAACGAAAGGAGGCAGGCCACGCCCACCGGCTGCCACATCAGCGCAGCAAGCCCAATGACGAGCGGTGCGCAGTTTTGAAAACGGCGAAAAGATTCCGTGCCGACATGTTAACCGCAGCGATCTTAGCACGCACACTACCCCGTCACTTTCACCGACCAGACGCATAGCTGACTGGTGGCGCTGCTCAATGCAGTCATCACCGTCGAGAGAGCTCCATCACCACCGTAAGCACCCCACTCTGCTCTCTGTCTTCCTCCCTCCCTCCCCGCTCATAATCTCGTCGTCATCCTTCGCGGAGCCGCGACTTAAAAACATCTCGAGCTCATTTTTATTTCCCTTTCCAATTCCCTGCTCCCCGTCATATTTTTTCTGTCCCGTGCTCCCTTTCGTCTCCGCCCGCCTTGCAATATTGATAGCGGCCAAGTCGGCTGGCAGGGCATGATTAACACAGCCCAGTCGCACTTCGTTACGGCGCTTCCTGTCAATCCCACTCCGTCCCCATGAAAAATTCATCCCCCGCAGCGTAGCTGCTGCACCCCCCCACCTACTTCCACCATCGCATATGGTTTCCGTAAGGACGAAAGAAGTTTACTGGGAGGGAAAAGACATAACATTTACTGTATGTATGCCGATGACAAAAGAGTTCAACAAAGAGGCAACTATTCAAATTTTTCTGAAATTTTATTAAATTGCATACATTATTAGTGTGGAGAGTACCTGAATGTAGAATGATTGGAAGTTACCTAATATTTAAATTGGGCATGTCAAAACGATTGTTAAACACACATCTTACTTTCACAATACATAGCCATGCACTTGCAAGGGACCGAATAATTAACAGTGATCACCGCCTGCACACTGCTCAAGGCCTATTTTTGGTGTGGGTTTGGCAATGAATATGCATATCCTTACGTGCAGCAAATTTCTTGTTGCAGAGAGGACACTCATAGGGCTTTTCCTCTGAGTGTCTTTGCAGATGTTTACGCCAACTTGCCAGTGCTGCAAACGTGCTGCCGCACACAGCGCACTTGTGGGGCTTTTCTCCTGTGTGCTTTCGAAGATGCTCGCGCAATTCCGAAGTAGAGAGACACACCTTGCAGCACACAGTACACTTGAAAGGACTGCTTTCTCGTGTGTGAGTTCGGAGGTGGTATCGTAGACTAGAACAGTCCCAAAATTTCTTGTTGCATAAAGTACAATGAAAAGGGGTTTCCCCGGTGTGCATTCGCATATGTCTACGCAGATAATCACTGCGCGGGTAGGTCTTCTTGCACACGGTACACTCGAAAGGTCTTTCTCCTGTGTGCGTACGCAGGTGACCACGTAGATGCGTACCTCTAGAGAATTTCCGGTCGCACAAAGTACACGCAAAGGGCTTTTCTTCTGTATGCGTTTTAAGATGTCCACGAAGTTGATCACTAGTCGAAAAGTTTTTGTTGCACGCAGTACACTCGAAAGATTTTTCTCCTGAATGCATTTGAAGATGTATACGTAGATAACCGCCTCGACGAAAACTCTTGTTGCAAATAACACACTGAAACGGACGTTCACCTGTGTGAATCCGCAGATGAGCGACCAGCTTTTGACTGGTCAGACATTTCCTGTTGCAGACCGTACATTCAAAAGTCTCTCCTGTGTGCATGCGGGAATGTGTATGGAGGCCAGCTCTACTCAAAAACTTCTTGTTGCACTCAGTGCACTTAAAAGGCGCGCGATCAGAGTTCATTTTCATAACGATTGTCAGCTTGATAGGAATTTCTTCATTACATACGGTTTCAACGTGCGAGCACAGCGGTCAGCAGACGTGTTGTTTCTGTAAGTGAAAGTGAATTGGCGTCAGTAAAATACTAATAATATTGAATGTAGAGGGATGGTGTTGAGGGCAAAAAGGTAGAGCACAGCATAGTTCACGAGGGGTCCCACACTCCCAAAATGTGTGTACAAACGAGTTTGTGAGTTGACGAGTTGTAAAGAGTTGCACTCTAAATGTCCAAGGACAATTTTTGTAACTAGCACCGGACTTCTGTGTGCATAACTAGCTCAGATACAATATTGTAACTACCAACACACATATAGTGACTAGCAAGTCACAATATTGTATCTGAATTCAGTTATGCACGCAGAAGTCCGGTGCTAGTTACAAAAATTGTCCTTGACATTTAGAGTGTGGACGCAATACATGCGCACATGAACACATGCGCACATGAACACGCACACACACACACACACACACACACACACGTGTACACTTTTAACGCCGTGGTCGTCTAGCTTGCCAAAATGTTGGCAGTCCTCTTTCATTGCCAAACTTTGGTCGTCTTTTGGAGGCTGCCAATTTTTAACCTCTTTGAATGCCACAAGACGGCCAAAATTTGGCAATCAAAAGGGCAACGGCGTTAACAATGTATGCCTACAAGAAAAATTACAGATTTTTGTATCAAATTTGTTATAGTTTTCTGTATCCGGGCACTGTAATACAGCAATTTGTATCGGTGATACGTGTAATCTTATAATAGTTTCTAGCAATTGGTGAACATTACAAAATTTTAAATTAATTTCAAATTTTACATTTATTATATTATTTTCTGTAATCTGATTACAAATTTCTGTCAACGGGATACAAATTTCTGTAACATGGAAACAGAAATTAGTAGGTTCGTTCAAAACATTGCCGTTTTAACGCTCAATTTGAACACAATTTGAGTAGCTGTTAGACTGATTCCAGCACCATCTATGATAAAATCAATTTCCTAAGCATTCACATAAAAATACCATTTGATAGCCCGATAGCTACCCTTATGAAAATAAATCATTCCGGGCGGCTTTCGGGCCAGTCCGAGAGGCTGAGATACGGGCAGTCCGAAATAAGTCCGAATGTCAGGGTGAGCGATCCCCCCCCCCTTTCCA